GGGCTAATGCGCCAGCTGGGGCAAAATCTGGGCCAGGGATCCTGTTGTCCCGCCAGATTGTTCCTGCAATGAGGGGGAGGCTTTACTGCTGGGATCATCGGCTTTGCTTCTGTCCCAGTGCCAGTCACTCGTCGCGAAGTCTGAAGTTGTGCAAGTGCAGAATTCAAACTTTGCATTCAAGGCTCCAGGCCCCCAGGCCCCCAGGCCCCCAGGCGCCCAGGCTCTCAGGCTCTCAGGCTCCAAGCCCCTGAGGCTGCATGTCTACCAGCCCTCCGTGCGTCTCCAGGCACTTTGAGGCAGTGGCTGGATGGCTGGGGTTCGGGCTTTCAGAGTGCCACCGATGCCAGCACGTTTTGGTCTCGGGGCGACCAAGCTTCCACAAAGATTGATACAAGTCTTCAAACTCGTCATTGTTGTTCGTCGATGATAGTTGAAACCCAGGTTACACTCGAAACCCTCGTTACCAAACCACCTAAATCCTTAAAGCCCCCCTGTACACCCTGTAAATTCCTTAAGCAAAGCACACACCAAAACTTGACAGGACCCTTCAATGCACCCGGATGACCCTTGGATGCAACGATCAGGCCAGGCACTGCATCTAAGGGTGTTTTGTGTGCATCCAAGGGTCAATTGCTGAAACCCAGGTTACACTCGAAACCCTCGACACCAAGCCACCTTTATCCTAAACCCCACCCTGTACCACCTGTATTCCTTCAGCAAAGCACACACCAAAACTTGAAAGGACCCTTCAATGCACCCGGATGACCCTTGGATGCAACGATCAGGCCAGGCACTGCATCTAAGGGTGTTTTGTGTGCATCCAAGGGTCATTGAGGGGTACTGGTCTGGTGGGATCATCGCCGTTGCTTCTGTCCCAGTGCCAGTCACTCGTCGCGAAGTTTGAAGTTGTCAGCAAGTGCAGCAATTTAAACGTTACCGTTGCATTCAAGGCTCCAGGCACCCAGGCACCCAGGCTCTCAGGCTCCAAGGCCCAGTAGAGTCGCTGCCGCCATGATTCCAGGCACTTTGAGGCAGTGGCTGGACGGCTGGGGGTCCGGCTTTCAGAGTGCCACCGAGGCCAGCATCGGTGCCACTCATGCCCGTTTTGGTCTCGGGGCGGCCAAACTTCCACAAAGATTGTTGGTGGGAACTGATTGCAGTGGCATTGATGCACCGATCCATGGCCTTAGGGAGCTCGGCATCACGCACCAGCATTTGTTTGGGAGTGAGGTGGCTGCTGGTCCTCGGTCGGTTATCGAGGCTAATACCAAGCCCTCGGTACTGTTCCACAGTGTCCTGGATGCTGACAAGGCACCGTTCGTTCACCTGTACATTGCCGGCTTCAGCTGCAAGCCGTTCAGCCTGCTCCACAATAAGTCAAGGCTCCTCAAGGAAAAACAGGCTCAAATATTCTATGGGGTCGTTGCACGCATCCAACTTGTGCGGCCCTCGTGCTTCGTGCTGGAGAATGTGTCAGGCATCAAGCGTGTTTCTGCAAAGGTTCTGGCGGCACTCAGGTCCACAGGCTATCATGTCGAAATGATTTTGATGAACCCTGCCGAGCTACAGGAGCCCATCCAGAGGCCTAGGTACTACTTCATCGGGGTCCGGCAAGATGTGAGCCTCATCTCGCCAAAGGACATGTCGTGCTGGCTTCGTGAGGCTTGGGCGGAAGTCCTGGATGCAGTTGCTTCCGGAGACGCAGTCGATCTTTTGGATAGACTGCTACCGGCGAGCCACCCTGCTGTGGCACAGTACCAGGAAAGCCGCAAACGGAAGTGGTCGCAAGCTTCCAACCGTGGGTTCCCAGGCTCCCAGGCTCCAGGCTCCCATGCTCCAAAGTGGAAAGAATTGCACAAGATGTGCAAAGCTTCAATGCAGCAGGGCAGCCGGTTGAAGAGTGAGAGTCGGAGGCCTTGCACTGAGAGCGGAGTCGCCTGCTGCGCAGCACGTTGTTCCTGCATTTGCCGCGTGAGCGTGATGCCTGGGACATCATTTGCACAAAGCATGCAGGCAGTAAGGAGCTTGTCGCGGATGTATCCCAGAATGTGAACCGAGCCCGGGTGCGGACCGATGGCTCCCTGCCTACTGTTACACCTGGGGCCGTACTGGTATCCGCACGAGCTGGAAGGATCATTAGCCCGCTTGAAAAAGTCATGCTGCACGGTTTTCCAATTCACCGTATGGTTTTTCCCAGCAAAGTGACCGACAAGGAGCTCGCCAGCATGGGCGGCAACACGATGCATGTGCAGATTGTAGCCGTGGCAATGAAGTTTGCGCTTGCGTTGGTAAACTGGAGCCTGCCCAAAGCTTCCCGGCCGACAGCCTTGTGCAGCACCGTTGCTGCGCCAAGCATAACTGCTTCAGTTGTGCTCGGCGCAGCAGCGAAATGCCGCAAGCGCCATGGCAAGCCACGGAAGGCTCCCAAGGCGCGAAAGGCTGCATCGGCGCAGAAGCCTCCAAAGGCACCAAAGGCTCCAAAGGCTCAGAAGGCTGAAGGCATGTCAGCTTTGGCAAAGCGTTGGCAGAAAGTCTTGAGACCGCAGGCAGCAAAGAAGTGCTCGAGGAAGGGTGCCACGGCCACATTGGCGTCCCGTCTTGCCCATCGCTGGGCAAAGTAGTAGTCATTAATTCGTCATATTATGACGGAGAATGGCATGCGTTTTCTAATTTGGCCACTCGGAGTTGGCATCATAGACTGACTTAGGTGAGGCCGGGTGCAAAATTCGGGAAAGCCTGCTCCGAGCAGTACAGATTATTTGGACTGGGTCACCCTGCCGACTCCCAGTGAAACAAACCGCCGCAGTGTGCATAGGAGTTCGCAGTGTTGTGCCATTCGGGCTGCTTGACTCGGGGTAATACCCTCACGTCTGCCAGGCAGCTGCTCGCTGTCGGATCGAACGGGAAGCTGGAGGCGCGGTTCTCGGGTTAGTCGGAGTCGGTTGGACCAGTTGCAGAGTCTGATTCAGTTCCAGTCTTAGCACGGTTGCCACGGTTGCGTTTGCTTGTCATCGTAAGTGCTGCGCGGTCGCTTCAGGCTCCCAGGCTCAAGGCTCCAAGGCCCCCAGGATTTCAATGCCAGTGGGTAGCCGCACCCTGCGTGGTCTTGCCGCTCGGTTCGGACTACGCTCCCGGAAGCAGGACCGGACGCCGACAAAAAAAAGACGAGGTCCACAAGGATCCGTGCCTGCGGCCCCGAAGAAGCTTCGGCTCGAGTCCGGCGAAGGCCTGGCTCAGGAGGGCGACGACGACACCGGAAAGGGATGTGGCGATGTTGGTCTCGCGACTGAGAGCGATGCAGAGCATTTGGCTCGCCATCGTGGTGGCGACGAGAAATGCAGCCGATGCAAGCTGCCCGGTTCAGAAACCCTAATTTTAATTTAAATTATTATTTAATTTATAATTTTATTTAATATTTAAAGAAATTTAAATCATAAATGGTCTTATTATTAATAGGGTTTCTGAACCGGGCAACTAGACATACTACATACATACATACTTACATGCCTGCCATGCATGCATACACATTACATGTCAATCTATTTTTTCATTTTGGTTCTTTATCATCTTGCTGTCGTGTTTCTCTCTCTCTCTCTCTCTCGGTGGCTCTCTCTCTCTCTCTCTCTCCGTCGCTCTCTCTCTCTCTCTCTGTCTCTCTCTCTCTCTCTTTCTCTCGTTCTCTCTCTATCTCTCTCGCTCTCTCTCTCTCACTCTCTCTCTCTCTCTCTCTCTCTTTCTCGTGCTCTCCGTCTCTCTCTCTCTCTCTCTCTCTCTCTTTTTCTCTCTCTCTCTCTCTCTCTCTCTCTCTCTCTCTCTCTCTCTCTCTCTCTCTCTCTCTCTCTCTCTCTCTCTCTCTCTCTCTCTCTCTCTCTCTGTTGGATCGTTATTGTTTGTGGCAGACTTGCTACTTGACTATGTTGCAGTTGCTGGTTGGTTCTTGCTTCCGGCATTCTCGACTTGATCTCGTCCGTTTGCATACAATCCCAACATGTCAGTCAGGTTCCTTCGCTTCCAGGAAGTTTGGAGCAAAGCCGGAAGCCTCACCCACACGTCTTGGGGCAAGCAGCAGCGGACAGTTTGGCTGGGCCAGAGACCAGCTCGCCGAGGAGGCGATTGGGGCATCGGCTGTCACTTTTGTGCACACTTGATGAATGTTTTGGCACAGAACCCAGCAGAGCGGAAGAGGTTGCAGTCCGGCCGAATTGTGCAGTGTAGTGCGAGCGGATAGCCCCTTTGTGATCAAATTAAGGCTGACCGTGACCAGCCCAACTTTCGCAGCCCTAAATGCCTAAGGCTGGGCAGTCGCCTCTCTACCAAGTGGGGTGCCTATGAGGTCCGATCAAGGACCGCATCATGTTGTCGTTGTCAGCTGTGATTTAAGGCATCAGTCGCAGACTTTGGCAGGAGTGCGATGCAGGCATGCTGCATACACGCTCACAGCAAGACCTTCGTTCACCAGGTGGCCACGAAGGTTTACCTAGCTCCTGACACGCCGATCTCACAGTGCTTGCCTTACAGCATCAAGCATCAGCACCTCTTCTCCGGCAACGTTCCTCAGCCGGCAGATTGGCTGCGAGCGTGGCGGGCGTGCCGGACAGCATCTTCTTTCAAAGGTGCCGTGAAATTCTATTCCACGGAAGACTTCGCTGCTGGCAGGAACACGAAGCTTGACAGTGTGAGCCAGGATGCAGCACTTTAAAAGGCCTAAGGTTTCAGATTGTTGACATTTTATTTTGGCACATTTAAATTTAAAATTTGACAAATAATTTAATTAATCATCTGAGGTCTCAAGAACATGATTCTTGTTATGCACTGGGCTGTCAAGAGTGTTCGCAAGCAGCGTCTCGAACAAGCCACCAGCATCAGCTTGTCCGTGGACGACCGCAAGGAGTATCGTTTGGTGAGGTACCGTTGCGATGTTCCACCGCGCACTGCCAAGCAGTCAGCGGCTCCAGGCTCCCAAGGTCCCCAAGGCTCCCAAGGCTCCCAAGGCTCGGAGGATGGCCCGCTTGTCGCCGATGGCTTGCTTGGGGTCTACAAGACAGGTGCCAGTGTTCCTGAAAACACATTGGAGGAGCACGATGCGGACAAGAGTCAGGTGATGGCAGACAGCATAGGCATAGTCATTGACAGGGCCTGTCAGGATCCGGAAGGCAAAACTGACGAGGAGTCCTGCAGCCGCTTGAAGCTGCACGTGCGGCACTTTGCAGCCGATCAGTGCACATCTGCCCGGAAGTGTGGAAGGTTGTTGGTCACTGGCGGCCAGTATCCTAACCTGGTCTGGGTAAGCCATGATCCTGCGCACCAGGTTCGTATTGCCTACCAGGACCCTCTTCACGCCATGCCCGAGTTCCAAGACCAGTGGGAGCGTTTGTTTGCTCCCGGCAAGGGCAAGCATGCGCTTATCCCGGACATCCAGAACTCAGAAGTCTGGAAGGCCAGGCTCATGGCGGCCCAGCAAGAGGTTCTCAGGCTCCATGGCTCCCAGGCTGGTGTGGAGAAGGTGATCCGAGCGTTGTCGTTCTCCCAACCTCGGTTTGACTCGTCGGCCACACCAATGCTGAAGTACTTGTGCATGATTCGTGCGATGGCGGTCTTATGTGCTATGCAGGCTGCTGACGAGTCTTGTCCTTATGTCAAACAAATTTTAAAATTATTAAATTAATAATTATTATTTATTTTAATTTAATTATTGTGTATTAAATCTTAGTCTTAGTATGGATTGTATTAATGCATGTATGTGCGGATGTATGTATGTACGTAATTATTATTTTAATAATTTAATAATAATAATAATTTAAATTAATAAATGACAATGATTAATAACTATTTAATTAATTTTATAATATATTAACTTTTATTCAATAATAACTAAGTATGTAGTCTTAGTATTATGTATATGATATGTATGTATGTATGTATGTATGTATGTATGTATTAATGCATGGTAATTCACTTTCAATGTGTAGTATCTAAATTGAATTGTATGTATGTATGTATGTATGGCATGTACGTACGTATGTATGTATGTATGTATGTATGTAAGTATTATGTATGAGTATGTATGTATGCATGTATGTATGTAGTATGTATTATGTAAGTAAAGCATGGATGTAAGTATGTATGTATGTACGTATGTATGTAGGTATGTATGTATGTATGTATGTAGTATGTATGTATGTATGTGTAGCGTTAAGAAATTTAAAGTATGTATGTGTGTATGTATTATGTATGTATGTATGTATGTTTGTATGTATGTATGTATGTATGTATGATACGTATGTATGTATGTATGTATGTATTGTATTGGCATTGTATGTATGTATGTATGTATGCATGTAGGTATTATTAGACATATTATTATTAACATAATACAATGTATGTATGTATGTATGTATATATGTATGTAGTATGTATGTATGTATGTATGTATGTATGTATGTATGTATGTATGTATGTATGTATGTATGTATGTATAGTATGTATGTATGTATGTATGTGTGTATGTATGTATGTATGTATGTATGGCATGTATGTATGTATGTATGTATGTATGTATTGTATGACTGAGTATGAACTAATTTAAAATATTAATAAATTAAATTATTTTAAACATTGAATGTTTGTATGTATGTGTGTATGTATCGTAGTATGTTATGTATGTATAGTATGTATGTTTGTATGTTTGTATGTGTATGTATGTATGTATGTATGTATGTATGTAATTTAATGTATGTAAGTATTATGTATGTAGTATGTATGCATGTATGTATGTAATGTAATAGTATGTATGTACTCTACGCATGTATGTCATGTATGTTGAAATGTCCGTTGTATGACACACAGGAGAGAAACACGGTCGAGATTCGCTCCCGAGCAGAGCGCGCCTTGCAAAACATGAATGCAGCAGCCCTCATGCGCTGTGGACTCACTTGCGACTACACATCTGAGTGCCTGGGTTTCTTGCGCAGGAACTTTGACATTGAGGATCCAGATGTATCCTGCACCCCCAGAGTGCTGGAAGAGTTCACCAAGCGCCAGCGGTTCTTATTTGTGGATGGATACATCCTCTCCGACAGCTCGCAGGTTCCCAGTTCCGTGGACGGCTCCGAGGCTCCAGGCTCCCAGGCTCCCAGGAGGTGTGCAACCCAGTTAGTTTACGAGGAGATCCAGACACCAGAGCCGCAACTACCCTGCAAGTTTGTCGTCGTCATAGCGGTTGTGTTCCAGTAGGCTTCGCTGGTATGCCCGCCGTGGCAAACCTAGGATCTTCTATGGCAACAGAGTCCACTACCTGTGCACGAAGGCCGGCATTTCTGATGTAAGGCAGATCATGGGAACTATGGCGCACGTGGTCGAGGCGATGCTGGAGCGTTTGCGAGTAGATCTGACGGAGGATGAGATCGCCGTGGCTCTGCAGGTATTCAACCTTCGGCTGTGGCAGGAGACGAACCGACAACAGGAGCTAGTGGACTCTACACGCAAGCTCTGTGATATGCTCAAGCTTTCGCACGGTACAGCCGTGCTGTTTGGACGATTTGCTCGCAAATTGCATCCTCTTCTAGAAGCAGCTAAGTCAAAGGACCCAGGCTTCGGGAACAAACATGCGTGGTCTTGGTTGCTTCGGCCAGCGTGGCGTGCACGGCATGCACACAAACTTCCATGGACAGAGGATTGTCATGCCCTCATTGCTTTCTTCTTGTCCTTGAAGATCAACACGACCACGCTGGAAAGGGATTTGGGACACTTGCTCACACAGCTGGAGGCGCATTCCGGACCCCTCACTCCAAATGGCTCAACCATTGCCTCCATCCTCGAGGTGGCAGTTGAAGGTCCCCAGCGAGAGGAAGAATTTTTCCGGAAGCCGGAGAGCGAAGGTGCCGTGCTGACCCCAACTGACTTCGGGGTTCTTTGTGGTGAACTGTGGATTCGTCACTTTGGGCGTCGGTTCCGCATGACCTACAACAAAGAACGAAAGCAGGGGCCCAGCAAGCCACGCCAGGCACGTTCTGGAACTCTGGCTGCAATTGTCAGAGGCCGTGAAGCAGCCGCCGCCGAGGCAGCGAAGAGAGCAGAGGCAGCTGCTTCGAAAGGCAGGTCGTGGAAGCCGGCCTCTTTCGTGCCGGGCTTGAGCCTGCCTTTGCCGGCAGCGTCTGCCTCTGCCCAGAACAGCGTTGCTGGCACACGTTGGGCTTTCGCCCGCCCCACACCAGATGCCCTCAAGCATTTGGAGAATTTCCGTGCACGCACACAGCAGAAATATGACGGTGACTCAGCAGCACAACGGTTGCTTTCCGTGCTAAGTCATTTGAAGTGTCATACACATTGTCATTGTCATCCAGCCAAGGTCACCAAGAGGAAGCGCGGAGACGATCCTCTGGCAAGATTGCTTACACAACAACGGCGGCACGGCTTGGCGGTTTGCGCATGGTGCAGCACGGCCACGAGAAGGATCGGTCATCCGTCTTGCAAAGCATCCTCCGCAAACGAGCTCTGAAGCTATGTCCGGTCTATCGTCGCTACACGGACAGCAAGTCGCTGCAAGGCAACAAGCATTTCCAGATTCTTGGACCGTACGAGTATGAATCCGCCGATATCCTGGTCCTCGAACAACTGTCCGATGTGGAGACGGTCCGCAGCGACCGACTGGTCCCAAGCTTTTAATTAAAATGTTTAAAAGTCGGATGATGCCAGGCTTAGATCGTCACTGCTGGTACACGTTGACGTGTTTCATCCCAGGTTCCTGCCTTGATCATTGCGTACGGCTGTGGCAAAGTGCTTGCCTCCAGGGAGGCGATTCTGGCATACTTGGACAATCCGACAATTGATGCTGAGAAGTCGTTCTTGTCCTTCAACACAGCTGCAACTTCGAGGCTGGTCGGCCTTGAGATCGCCAAGAGCTGTCAACTGTTGCTCGGTGGCACAGACACTGAGGTTCAAGGGTTTCGGGTTGAAGGGTTTATTGTCTAGGGTTGGGTTTGGGTTCATTTAAGTTCAATCAGTCAGGACCCGTGCCATCGTCGAGGCCCTGCGATTCTGTGAGAAGTTGCCCCAGTCGAAGTGGCGTGTTGCTATCGGCACACCACTGCCCACTCAATTTGCTACCAAGAGGCGCACCACCTACAAGATCAATGGAGAGGCCGATATCTGGAATTTCCTCCGCACCGTCCGCGGGTTGTCCCAGAAGCGGACATTGTCCGGTGCTGGTGTACAGATGAGGCATTTGCCCCCCAAGAAACCCAAGAAAGTTCGTGCGTCATAGTCCTGTACTGCAGCAGTTAATGACAGTGCTCTTTGGCTCCTTGGCTCCTTGGCTCCCAGGTTCGCAGGCAGGAATTTTCCTGGGGTCGAATCATTTTAAGTCTAGTCGTTCGCACAGGAATGTACAGGGGGCCTGTGTCGCAAGGCAGGGTTAACCTTGTCTGGGGCAGCAGGTGCCTGCAACAGAGCCTGTTGCAAGCCCCTGCTCAATACACTGCAGATTGGTGCCAATCCGGGGCGTATTGGCAGGACAAAACGGCCTTGCAATTCACTTCCCCTGCAGTTGTTTAATTGCAGGACAATGGTAGGATGCAATACACCATGGATTGGTGCCAATCCCTGGTGTATTGACGTTCCATTTGTCCCTTGCAATAGCCTTCCTCTTTCATTTCAATACAGGCAGGATTCGCGCCAATCGCCGCGGCGCTACATCCAAGGGTGTTTTGGATGCATCCAAGGGTCCCGGCAGCTCTTGTTCCATGCATCCAAGGGTGTTTTGAGTGCATCCAAGGGTCACGTTAGCAGTGCCTTAATGATGAAAGAAGCACCTGTCACCCTTCAATGCACACGAATGACCCTTCAACGCACGCAAATGACCCTTCAATGCACATGTCACTTGTCACTGCATTGTCTGAGGCTGTTGTCGTCGACAAGCTGGACGTCGAGGGGCAGGCCCAAAGTCGTTTCATTTCAGTCATGGTTGGCTGTGTGGCTGAGTTGTCAGAACATGACAGTTGCATGCGACAGTGTGTTGTGTCAGTCTTGCCATGTCACTATCAGCATCTGATACGAGGCTTCTGCGGCAACAGGCTCCAAGGCTCCCTGGCTCACATAGGCTACTAGGTCCCAATGCCGCCTGCGAAAATGGCCGCAGCCGATCCTAAAGCAGCCGCCGCAGATATGGCACCCACCATCATCGCCGAGCCGGAGGAGAACCCAGTGATAGAGACTCAGTCTCAGAGATCTTGGTCGCGTCTCGGCTACTGTGCGCTGAGGGCAAGTGACTACGAGAAGAGTGTGGAGGCGGCTTCCGAGTTTGAGAAGGATTCCTATTACGAGTCACCGGAGATCGGCTTCCGTGCCTTGTTTCTGGCGACGAAACTGGACGCCATCACATGGCAGCGCAAGGAAGCCATGCGCAAGTTGGGGGCGGCCCCGTCTGCTGCAGACAAGCCTGTGAAGGCGAAGCTGCGCTCATCGCGCCGCCAGCTGACAGAAGCCATTGGGGAGACCCAGTTCGTGGTTCTCACACTGTTCACCAAGAAAAATCTGGCCGAAGCGTGCTCTGCAAGAGACATTGTGGTGGAGGATGGCGGCTACTATGTTCCGCTGTTCTCGGATCCTTGCCAGGAGCTGCCTTTCCACGACGAGGCGAACTGGAGCCTTGAATTCGAGTACATCGGACGCCAGGAAGTCTTTTCATTTATTGTTATTTAATTTTATATTAATTATAGGCTCAGGGGTTCAGAGGTTCAGGGGTTCAAGGGTTCAGGGGTTTAGGGGTTTAGGGGTCCAGGGTATTGCGTCCGATCAAGGCACGTCATGGTGCAGGCCACGACCAGCCGCGCCTGGCAGACCCTTGCACCCGGGCCCGACCTTGGCGGGGGTTTGGGCTTCATGTGCTACACGGCGGTCAAGTCGGAGGAAGGCGGCGGCGGCGGCGGCTTCGACATTAGCAAGGAGGACACATCTGCCCTCGTGAACTTCTTGGCCCGGAACCACGTGTTCGCTGCGCAGGGGGATCCGTTCCTTCCGGATCCCGGTGCATCCCTGTTCCCGGTTTCTTCGTCCACGCACGCAGCGGCCACGTTGGGTTTTTTTGCCCTCAAGCAGCTCGACATGGACATGCTCGAGTTCAGCTGCGAGGGCGTCATCAACCAGTCACCGCCGGTTCTCCATCCGATGGGGTACTTCTGGATGCTCAAGGGCAATGACCTGGCAGAGCGGATCCGCACCGGCAACTTGAGCGTACGCAGGTCCGGGATCGAGATGGTCATCGTGAGCATGAGCAACCCCAGGAAGCACTCAGACATTCTCCTTGAGGCTCAGCGCTCCAAGCTGGTGGAGCACAAACGCCGCTTGAAGGAACAGGTGGACGTCTCCAACAAGCAGCTCAGGATGCCCTCGCTGCCGTTGATGCCCAGCTGAGGCGTCTCCCAGGCTCCTAGGCTCCCAGGCTCCAAGGTCCATGTGGCGCCGGCTTGGTGTCGTCATGTTTAGATGACTCATCAGCAGCATAGTAGGATTTTGATGCTTCCTTACTTTGCTGCCAACTTGATTTAAATGGACATGTAAAGCTCAAGCCGCTCGTCGACAAACTGTGGCAGGGCCCACGACTACAAAGGACCGCTGTCGACGTCAGTTTGTGTTTGTTTGCAGCATGTCCTGCACTGCAGCAGTCTTATTGCCTTGCGCTGCACCGCAAGACTCCAAACGGTTCCGTGGAAGGCTACTCGGCTCCCAGGTTCCCAGGCTTCTGTACTCGCGCTCAATGGCAAAAGTGCCGGATTTGCCCACCGACCCAACCGTTCTGAGCTCAGCATTTTCGGAGCAGTATGACGTGTGTGATGATGATGTGTGGCACGCCATGTGAAGCAGGCCAGTGCTCAAGAAGCCCTGGCAAACATCGTGCCATGGGCCCTTCGCTGAGTTCTTGATACCGTGTCCCGTCTCGCGGCTAACAGTGCTGCATGCCGTGCCTGCCCGAGGTCCGCAGCCAGCTCCCTCTGAAGTTTCCGCAGGCCAAGCAGATGTTCAAGACACCGCCGCTTGCCATCAACGCAGAAGCCAAGATGGGGGATTTGACCGGATACAAGGCGGGCGCATGTCGATCAATGTCATTTATTGTTTGACCGTTGTCGTTTGTCAGGCTGTGTGGAGCAAAGATGACTGCCAAGCGTCCCTGACATCATCTGGACTTTACGAAGCCAGTGGCCTCGCGCTGTGGCTGGCCACCGAAGCTTTTGCCAGTGCGTCTGAGGATGTGTGCTGGCAGGATCTCCAAACTTTCGAAGACGCTTTCTTCTCCAAGAAAGTTGCTTTCAGCACAGTTGTATCGCGTGAAGCTGCCAAGAAGAAACAAAAAACGTCACGAAACCGGCTGACGTGGCCTTGTGAGATGATTGTCCTCACGGAGTCAGCATCTGACGTGATTCACGAAGAGTTCAACAGCTCGTTGCATCTTGCTAGCGGCGTGTTTGTGTTGTGGGCTTGGTACTTGGCCGTCTTCAAAGCCCTAGTCTCCCAGGACAGTTGCTGCTTGTGTTCACATGACATGACATGTTATTGATTCATCTGACTGATGTGTGCTTGCACTTGGCAGGACAAAGCAGTTTTGGAGATTTTGTGGGAGTGTGGCTGCACTGTCACGATACAGGTTCGCTTGTGTTCCAGCGCAGGGGAGATTGCGAAGAGTCGCAATCTTGCTTCAGAGAAAGTCAAGGCACTCGGGCACCCTGGCCTGTCCGACACCTTTTGGACATTTGCAAAGACTGTCCAGCTGCTCAAGGTCGAAAAAGTCCAGGATGGTGAGGAACAGAACTTGAGGTACAACAACACCTTGTACAACAAGGCCTTACACCAGGCTGCCACAGCAGCTGTTGCAGTGCTGCGGGGTCCATCCGGTCCCGTGGAGAAGGCTGCCCGGAGATTGGAGCTGGAATTTGGGCGGGGCATCTTGAGCAGTCAGTACTCGAAGTTGAGCAAGCTGTTATCGCTGACCAACAAGCTCGCATCTGCTACCAGAAACGCTGTAGACCTGACGGCCTGGATGATCGACTCCTTGACGCTGGCCCTGCGCATGAACATGGTCACGCCAGCTAAATGCACCGAGAAGTTTCTGGATCGAGACCGGAAGACAGGCGATGCTGGCTTTTGGTTGTCGCGCATGCTGGTGGTGCAGGCATTGTAACTATTCTGACTAGCGTGTGTATTTTTTTTTTTGCGGAGTGTTGCAAGTCATCGGCAGCTTGAACACTGACAGAGGTCTTCGATTATGCAGCAAAGCTGGCGAACAAGTTGCCTGAGCCGGACAAGGTTAAGCTGACAGGGATTTTGGCTGAACTCCGTTGCCCTTCCACATGTTGGGAGAAATATCTCTGCCATGCTGATGCTGATCAAGGGGCTGCTGGAGAGGACGACATGGACGGCGAGGACCCAGAGGACGTGGAGCGCCCTGTTCCGCAGTCCAAGATTGGAGCTGTTAAAGAGGGTTTCAACAAAGCCATTGGCATGCTTTTGGATTTGCTGCTGGAGCTGATGTCGGGGAAGTACTACAAGGATTGCTGCATGCTGGCTTCGAGTGAAGATGGCCTTGCAAAGGCATTGACAGCTGCACAGCTTGGAAGCTCGGATGACACGGAGCACGAGGAGCCATGTGCGCTTATCACTCAGATGAAGATCATTGTCGACAAGTTCGACAACAGCACGAAGTCCGTTGGTGCCACATCTGCGGCTCCTGCTCCGAGTTTGCTCCAAAGCCTGGCCAAGGCTTCTGAAGCTGACACACCCGAGGAATGTGTCGAGCGTGAGCGGCAGTGGAAGGCGGTGCAAACGGAACGCCGCAAGTTCGTGTCGTTCTCGGTACCGAACAAGATCTCGAAGGACTGCCTAGTCAATGCGTTCAGAGGTTGCGGCAAGGTCTTCACGCACAAGGGCACCTTAAACTCTTCGCACCGCCTGATCGTTGCCAGTGCGGATCTCTTGGCAGAGGCTGGTACCGACCCGTGGCTCAAGGGCACTCCGCCAAGCGAGGAATGGAAAGAGATCTGTGCCTTTGCCAAAGACATTTCTGGGCCCGAGGATTTCGTCGTACTCTTCGACGGCAGAATGCGGGAAATTCGCCGCGTGTCCGAGTCTTGGCGGGGTGATGTGACAAGGCTCCCAGGCTCCAAGGCTCAAAGGCTGCACCTGGTTCTTTAAGGAAGACCTCCTGCTGAACCAGCAGCACACCGAGGAGTGCACCATCGTGTACTCAGGTGGGTGCCCGCCGAGAACTGGTCGCACTCGCCGCGTTCCGCTGGCTGCAAAGAAGGTGGAGACAGGAGCGGTTAAGTTCCCGGTCGCACGCACCAAGATTCAGACGACGAAGAAAGGCTCCTTCACAGTCTGCGGCGAGGCTTCTACGTACCAAGGCACTTACTCAGGCGTGGAGTACCGTGCGGTTTCTGAAATGCCCCTCGTGTCTGCAGACACCAAGAAGAAGATCATTGCTCCGGCAACAACCGGCGACCTCCCGACACCGCCAGAGGACTGGCAGGATCGCCACGGCTCCGACGTACCCTTGTTCTGGAACGAGTCGAAGCCGATAGCATATTGGAATGCCATCATTGAGGAGTTTTGCGCGGAGGCAGTGTTTGACCTCACGGCTGGCACCGGTGCTCTGATGGAGGCTTCTTTGACTGCCGGCATCGCATACCACGGGCTTTGCAGCACCCTTACTTGTCCAGTAGATTCGTCAGATCATTGTCATTTGATTTTATTTAAATTATCCGAGGCCTCAACAAGGAGCACATGTCGTGGGTCCAGGCGGTTGCTGATCGCGCAGCTTGCGGAATGATGGCTTTGGAGGGATCCACTCTTTACTCGGACGAGAATGCCAAGGCGGTGAAGAAGCATTTCCCGCACGTTCTGGAGAGCTTGTCCAACCAAGACGACCAGGACGAGGCACCTGCTGAGCCAGATAGCCCCCGCGATCAACCGCAGTGATGATGTTTCACTTCGACCGAATCCGCCAGCTCA